ACTGTGCTGGCAGCTTCGGATCTTTTGGTCAGCTAGATCCATACCACTCATGAACTTATTTTAAAGTTCTATTACTATATGTCTTTTCAATCCTTTTTGCACCCACTCCCCTCTCTCTAAGCTGAGCTCGAGGACCATACCAAGATTAACACTGTTCTCAAAGTTAAACTAGACCTTCCTCTCACGCGGACTGAGAGGATGTTACCGCTCCTTCACTGCGATTGTTCATCTCGTAGCCCATTCTGTAACAGTTATTAATCCTTCATTATTGATTATTTTTTCAGTTTGTTTTAGTTTTTACAATTTAGTGGGAAAATTTAGACATTAAAAGAAGAGAAAGGAAAACCGAGCTTGACCAGGGTACATTCAAAACAGACCACTTACGAAAGAAACTCCTATTTTCAACGCTAAAATGTGATATTTGCCAATTGTTCTGGTTTACCTGTTGGTATGTAAAAAGTAAATATTGTAAGCAAAAAGGATATACTCAACTCATTTCTACTAAATCTGCATAAAATATCCCCACATGAAAGCAGTGTAAGAGAATTATCCTTTGAGAGACTAGTTTCCTGTTTCCTGGAGCTAGAGAAGGAAGTGACTGAGTATACATTATCTATTGTTTGTTTCTGGCAAAGTCATGTTTTTCCAGAAGCTTAACTGTGAGGCTTCTATCACGGTCCTCGACTACCTTTTTTCGTTGGAGCAGAATGGGTCTGGTTGATCCGATGTTGACTGTCCTTTGCCAAGTGGTACTGTACTAACTTAAGGATATTGGATGCAAAGTATGAGAACGTAAATATAGCTTGCGGCAGAAGAATCCAAGAAGCTGTTCCTCAGCTCTTCTTAGCATTTTATTGAAAGGGTTAAAGGGTGTAACATCTCCAGTCATCGGTTCGCTATGAGTTTTCATTTGCAAAGCCGCTTGAAAAACCTGCAAAATGTGGGTGGTCCAATCTGGTTGTTACCTCAAGCACATTGCAAGCTTTCCTTGGATCTAGAGGAAGATGTGCTTTTGAGCTTGCAATCAGCACGGTAAAATAGATGTTTCTTCCATCAATGAGCGAAAACTTCCATGAAGTTTTGCTGCAGTTTTTGCAGATTCCTATCATGTCACACACTTAAGTGGGAATGACTGGCTTTATTCTGTTTGTTCGGAATCATAAGATCATTAGCATTTTGTACAGTAACTTTGTTGTTATTATATTCTGCACAGTATATTCTCGAGTACGCCATAGTGTCACTGTAATATTCAGTTTAAAATAAATTAGGTAGGATGTGCTAACAAGGCGTTTGCTCTTAGTGTGGACCGCTAGTGGTCCAAACGCGCATGGCATGTGGTCTTTACTCTTTGAAATAGTAAACTGCTGCAACTGTTGAAATTGCTTCGTCGTTTTTGACACACGCGTTTAGACAGTGAAAAGTGATTTTTACCATATACGTCAACATTTTGTCTGGTTAATAGGCAATCACTGCTAGTTCATTTTTATGGCCATTTATACTTTTGAAAATTTGATTACTTTGCGGCCGATCCATCTTTCATGAGGCAATTATTTAGACATATCTCACGTGAATATCTATCGCTTGGTAACCAGTTTGATGAGTGATAAGAAACATTTTCATACTTAAATTTCCGACTATATTAGTTCATCTTTACCCTGAAATTACAAACCCAAAGTTTTCGTCCTTATTGTATAGCCTTGCCTGGAGCCTAAATACACTTTGTAGTATTTTCCTCAAGTTTAAATGTAAACAATTTCTTACGAAACATTTTCCTTCAGGACAACGGCAGAGCAAGGACTGATATGTTTCTCACGTTTTTTACCAGAAAACTGGTTTTCGTTCGCCAAGCTGTTGTTGCAATCACGGAAAGGACTTCGGTAGTCCGTCGGAAAACTAATATCGGCAACCTAGGTATAAAATTTACAGATGCTCTCTTTACTTCCCCAACACTGTGTATCAGAAGCAATGCAGGAACATTGGTCTGGTGATCTATGTCAGTTTTATCCATCCTCGCTCTCATTTGTGATTTCAATTTCCTGAGGGCTAAATATATATCGTTTTAGCATCTATAAACTCGACGCGGATGTATAGATGGAACAAAGATAAAACTTTGTCTTTCTGCGCGGCAGGGGGCTTGCTGAGAGTAATTTTTGCGCCGGAAATATTATGTATTTAAAAAGGTGACTATATCGTACAGAACTGAAAAGTAGTCTTTCTTGTTAATTAATCAATTTTCTGTCAAATTGCTCTAAATATTTTTTTTTCTGTTCCTATCAAATTCCGCACAGGAAATGGGACAGAAAGACGTTTAAATAGGAGAACCTGCTATAACTGGCGGAGTAAGGCTGGTAACTCATTAGGCCCTCACAACGGGGAACTCGAGTCATCATGAAGGTTCGCTTGTTGTTTCAAATCCCTTGGCATCTACAAGGTTCTTTATTCGGTTTCAAGGCAAAGGAGCACAACCGCAGTCATGTAAATGCGCTGCGAAGGCCTTAACGTAAAATCAACGTAACAGCGTTTTTCTTTCTCTTTTGGCTCCGAGAGGAAAGATACCAAAAACCAATTAGGAACATGTTTTGTGGTGGTGCTTTGAAAAGTCAGGAAATATATTGAATAAATTTATATTTGCGTGAAACACCTTTCTTTGTGTTCGTGTGAAATTCCAATTTCGCCGGAACTTAAGTTTTGATTTTGACTCAAAAGGTAATTTACAGTTTTCGTTAATTCGATTATGAATGTAATAAATCATTTCAATTTTCCCAAAAGAAGCTCGAGGATATCGCGTCCATAGAATTCGCTTTAAATGAGGATACGAGAACACCGAAAGCAAGAAATTCAAAACAGCCTGTGTAGGAATCGAAAACGATGTATCTGTTTTCGGCGGAAAGGCTTAAATAAATAAAGACAGACAAATTACTTTTTAGGTAGGACTCGATGCTGATTTTATCCAAGGGAGAAAAATGAAACACGAAGTAAAATTTTTCTGGAACAGCAGGGAAGTTAGAGGATTTCTATATTAGTGGCGATCCAGACGGTACTTGGCCTAATTAAAAGCAAATTCGTAGACTTGCTTTGTTTACATAAAGGTTGAGGATTCTCTCTGTCGCAAACATTATTCTCGACAGGATGTTTTAAAGCTCAAATCGTCATTATCGTTTTAAAAGAGTGACTTCGTACTTAGTGAGATTCTGCCTTTGCGAATGGTTCAAGGGAGCTGGTCTCATCTGATGTGAAGCAAAATTAACATACTTCGAACAACAGTCGCTCGAGAACAATGCAGATAGGTTGTGAGTGGCCGATAGTGGAATTATAATAGATAGCGTTCTGTTGTTGAATAATAAATAGCCGGAGCTCTCCTGAAAAGTGGCAGGTGTTCGAGTTGTAATGGGAAACGTTGGTACTACATGTCAACAGTGACGAAAGAGATAAAAAGCAATTTTGGCTCAATCAAAAATTGTTGGCGTGTTGTAACATTTTGAGATGTTATCTGTTGTTTTGTAAGTTGGAAGTGATTTTTTTCCCTCTTCGCATTGGATCAATGTTTTGTTGTAAGTGCTGAGTCGCCGAAGTTGCCTGTTCTTACGTTTGCCGTCGTAACAATCGCGGGCGAGCACGCTGGGAAGAATCCAGTTCCAATGTTTGCTGAGTGAATAATGCGTTTTAAAAGTGCAATGCACTCGACGGCGAGCAAATGACTACGAAATTTTGTGCGTGTCAGTCACCATCGCATCGACGAAAAATTGCTGACGATACATTTTCCTTTGACGAGGACAAAGATGCCGAAGAACTTCAACCATTACCCAATGGGTTCTCTCACGAACATGAAAACGAGAACGAGAATGACAGTGTACCATGTTTATCCAGTAACGAGGCTGAGACTACGCCTCAGGGTGACCGTCGACGAAGAATAAAACACGTTTGGGATTATTATCTGCTGCATAATACTTTACATGGCTTGCACTACGTTTTCGACACGAAGTCAATTTGGCGCAAAGTTATCTGGATTGCGATACTGTTAAGCGCCGGTGGAGCATTTATTAACGAGGTCAAAACTAGTATAACTCAGTATTTCGAGTATCCGTTCAGTACACTCGCCACTGTTGACTACCCTAATAAGATTGTACTTCCAGCAATTTCGATTTGCGATCTGAGAGACATCAGAAAAACTATACTAACGAGTGCAAAGTTTCGGAGGGGAAGAAGTGCGCAAGGAAATTCAACCGAGCATAATCCGGAACGTGTATTGGGGGATGTTCTGGAAGACGCTTTCTCGATCTTAGACGACATTTTAATTTCTTGTGTTTTGAAGCGAGGGGTGAACGAGAGTAGAGAAGTCCCTTGTGATCGCGAAGACTTTACCTTGTTTCTGTCTTCGGATGGGCACACATGTTACACGCTAAATTACGGGGGTGAGAACAGGACGCTTTTGGAAACGGATAATGTCGGGCTGAAGTACGGTTTACATCTGGTGTTGAACACGAAGCCTCTGGAGGAGGGGAAAACTTATGGCGGCAGCGGGGTCAAAGTTATTCTTCACCAGCAAGGAGAACTTCCCCTAAAGCGGGTAGGATTTCATGTTCCTCCTGGTTACGTGACGTTTGTGGATATGAAAAAAGAAAAGGTATTTTTATTTAGTCTTCTTCTGTCATGTTAAATTTCTATTATTTTGTTTTGGGCTTTGTGTAAACCCCCGCAGCTTGCGTTCGAATTGTCGCGAATTTTGTAGTTTCTACAAGAGGCAGGAATTTATATAATTGTTTCTCCCATGTTATCGTTCATTGTGTAAGAGGCTCCTTCGTAACGAGCGCCCGGGCGTTTTCAGCTGTACGCTGTGGAGACTTAGTGGAGTTATAGCTTATAGTTATTCTTTCCCTATGGAGCGAAGTGATTGTGCATCGTTATTACTTTTTAGATGAATACATTAAAGTTGTCGGTTATTTTTTATTCACCTCTCAAAGATGGTAGATATATATTTTTTCTTCAATTCTCTTTTTCTCCTTGCGGGTTTCTTTATCAAACAATTGACTGACTTATTCATATCACAGCAAACGAAACTTTGAACTTAATCCGAGAATTTGCGCGCTTGATAGTTCTAGGGAAACGTGTCCTCGGTTGAAACTCGTTCTGTTCAACAACACTCTTTGTTAATGTATTGCGTGGGACGTTGTTTAAGGTTTTTATTACTTTTCTCCGATATGTTGTGGTTCGTAATGGAATAACTTCCTATTTCAGTTAGTGACCACTTCTCGCACACGGTAGAAAAATTGTCGGATTTAGTCCTTATCTCAACTAAAGAAGCACGAGCTTAAAATAACACGCTGAGTGTTTTGGAGACGAGAACAAGGGCAATTATTTGGGTTTCTTAGCGCATCGGTTGGTCCACCGAAACAAATTAAACCATCAAATTCGAATGAATGGTAAATGTATTGTTAAAAGGCCTAGTTTGGGTTTTTGGGTATTTATTTTTGGTCAAATTGTAAAATTGACTGCAATTTGATGTCAGACTTGAATTTCTAGGCGGACTGAAAGTTTTGGTTTTGGTTCTGGAAAAAAAAGGAAACGTTTCGTGTTTCTATGTCGCAATTTGCCTTATCGCAGCTAGTTTTTATTTATATCCAAACGTGCATCCTCAATTTGCAATTTCACGATCTGCTTTGAATGACGCATTTTACAAACATTGCTTAACCGCATACATTAATATTTTACGAGGTAAGTCGAAATCTGTGGCGACATTTTTCCGTATGCAAAATCCTATAACCGGCTTACTACAATTTCAGTGAAAATCTTTATCAGCAATTTAAACTAAGTGCACCATTTTTGGAGACCATCAAATTAAGACATAATTGGACCGAAAACGAAATTTGTATTATCGACTATAATTCAGTGTTTCAAATTCCATGTTCTGCGTTTTCTCTTCCTCGTAAAATCAACTAAAGCTTTCTTTACACCGTGGTACATCATCGAAAGTGGTAATAAACGCATTGTTTTTTTATGATATTTACTTGCCCGGAAATGGTGTAGTTTGGTTGCGGTCTTTTGATGATTTTTGAACATGAAGGCTTTTTTTCTATTTTAAAATTAGTATAGCTTTGTGATAGTTTTTCTCAATCTGAGTAACATCAAACTGCAATAACCAAACGAATGAGATTTTAATCCACAATTGCGAACAAGTTGAGGTACATTGACAATGTTTTTCCTTTTTTCTAAAGTGCTAACTTTTCGATTAATTTTTTTCTATCGTAACTGTTTTTATTTTGGTCTGTAAGTGCTTCTCTGTATGACTTCTATTAAATTGTTTCTCCGTATCGCAGAAATCTGGAAAGTCCCTGCTGATGAGTACTGAATTATTTTAATGCATTTTGTCTCATACTTGTTTATTGATGTGATTCATTTACGCGGATAGAGATTAGAAATGTTCTCCGACGTTTTAATTTGTGATACTAGCTTTTCGCTTTATCCTTTAAGCCAATCTTCATAGAGTAATTTTTTTTCGGGAAATAAAAATTACTTCCAAAAGTGATGAGGGGCCTTTATTTGCATAAAACCGTTCGCGTTTTAACTCATTTCAAAATATTTCGCTTAGCAGGTGAAACCATCAACGAAACGAAACTTTTCAGTTATTCTTTTCAACACGGAAAACGGGAAAAGGTCTTTAAAAAATTGTGTTCAACTTGCTCTTATCTTAGGGAATGTAAATTGAGTCCTATTTCTCTCAGGGTGCTTAATGAAGATGTTTATTTTGGTAAGATGTAAGAGCGATAAAACCACCAAACCTTGTAATCAAATTGTTTTGTAGCACCTTGGCGTGTTTTCGAAATACCTGTTGTTCTTCCTTTTTTTTTTTCTTTTTCTTTTTTTTTCTCTCACCTCCATCGCTGTGGCGGACATTTAAGAGACGCATGTTTAGTGGAAAGAAAGCAATTTTTTTCATTCCAAGAAAATCTATACTCGCCGTGCAGTTGTTCAAAGGGGTTATTGATTACAAGCTAATGACGAAATAATTCAAATGGAAATTCGCTACTAAGGTCTCTGCTCTACGAACGTTTTTGAGGGAAATAGATTATCGATCACGCTTTTGCAGTTAAGTGCCATCCATACGTCTTCTGCTAGATACTTTCCAAGTACCAGGCAAACGTTAGTGCGATGCGTTTTTTTTTTACAATGCAGCTCAGTGTCATTCCTCTTTGTTGCCCGATGAGTTGTTGCGCCCTTAGCAAGTACGCATACTCCTCTGCATTCCATGACCTTCCTTTGGCTCTAAATTATTCTCAAGAAAGATTTGACTAGCTGCACAACCAAACGATCAGGCAAGCTGTACAAAATACACTTTGTTTTCTTAATCTATTGCCATTTCTTCGTCTCTTTTTAGCTCACAAATCTTCGTAATCCTTTTAGCACAAATTGTGGTGGAAAAACGTTGGATTATTTCCCCGCTTATTCCAGAAATAAATGTTTTCTAGAAGGACTAACTAAACATGTCTCTCACAAGTGTGACTGCAGAGGTTGGTTTATGCCAGGTCAGTGAGTAAATAAAGTACCGGTTGCATAAGTTATATCATAGCTACGATGATTCTTACTTTCCACCTAAAACCTATTCAACTCAATACATATGTATTTAGCACCATGTTTCATGATGGGTAAAAGTGAGCCCGCTTGGCCAGAAAGAAAAGATGCGTCTAGAGGTCCACCCAGAAGGAACACAACAAAAATACTAAACTTAGCAAATTAAAATTACCTGTAAACAATTGAGGTTTGAAGGGCTAGTAACGCCTTTATATAGTAAATTATTTCGATGAATCGTGGGAGGTCGCCCTCTCTCTCTCCTAATGTCTGGTACGGTAACATGATACAGCTTGAATGTCTTTGTGGGAATAATAATTCGTAACTTGACTGGAGCTCTTCCTTGGAAATTCCAAACCTTTTTCTCTTATTTATTTGTAGAAACGAAGGATAATTTTACACTGTGTTCGTTGAACAAGACCATCAATTGTATGTGGCCAGCTTGGGGTGAGCAATCTTGTCCTTTGAAGATAGATAGTAAGAGATCTTTAAGATAAGTCCCTCATCACCAGAAAGGTCCAACTAGATATTTTCTTGTGATCTTAAGACAGACCCAACACAATACCGCCACGATAAATCCGTGAAACAAAGCGTCGCTAGACAAAACAAGATTAAAAAAATCAATCACCAATCAGAATAAGAGGTAAATGTCACAAACAAACCAATAGGAACCTAAGGGGAAGACTTACGAACGTTGTCAAGCGCTATTAAACGCCATTAATTAAGTTGCGATTGATATGAGTTGTATTTGCGATTGGTTGAGGTTATAAGAATATTTTGGACCAATCATAGACTGTAAAAACCAAAGCTATCCCAGATTATTTGCAACGCTAAAATAAAAGAATTGCTCCAAACCACAACTAAATTTGTTTGTTCCTATAACAACAACAACAACAGCATTTATTTAAACACGATAAAAAAATTCAGCAAAAGCTGATGTGGTCGTGTAATCCAAATCGCTTTGTTTTGTTTAACAGCCGTTACATTGCAGAAAAGTGTAACGAAATACCTCAAAGTTTTTTTCTCACCCTAGTTTTCTTTTTGCTGTTTTCTTCTCTCAGAGGAATTTGAATCCAGGATGAATAGCCCGGTTGATTGTCCAGTAGACTGCGAGAAGGTGTCATATGAAGCGCAGTTGTCTCAAACTCTTTACTTGCCACAGAAACTGGTTCCAGTAAAGCAAAAATACGAGAAACTCACACAAGGCAGAAACTTACCTAATGACACGGACGAAGTTATTAAATTTATGTTGTAAGTGTTTTTATTTTAAAGACGTCTTGGATACGAAGTTTTTTAGTTATCTTAAAAAAATTCTTTGATACATATTAAGCTGTTAAACTTTGTCTTTGCAGAGACTACTACGTTGTGTTAAAGTTCTTCTTCAGCGAGCTTAGAATCGATGTTTTTGAGCAAACCCCTTCCTATGGCTTCTTCAAGTTAGTAGGTAAGGCAACTTTTTGTTTGTTTGTTTGTGTTTTTTTGTTGTTTTTTATGATAGGAAAAGAGGAAAATTTATATTAAGTTCATTTTCTCAACGAAGGTATAATTTTGGATCCTGCAGAAGGATCAATTCCCAAAAAACTGCGGACTCTTGCAAACTTATTTAAAGGCTTGGAAGAATGAGATATATTGATTTCAAGAACTTGTTGTGACACTTGTCGAAACAGTATCGAGTGTTACCAGAGAAAGGCAGATGACATCGACATATTTATTTCATTGGGGCCGGCGATCTTGTCCGTTGTGTTATCCGTACCTGGAACAAGTAATTTTAATACGTTTTAGTTGATTCGATAGCGTGCCACCCATAAGGAAAACAAACTATTCCTCAACCACAAATCGCCATCAACTACTAATAGAACAGTCATTAACGCCCATTGTGAACGATGCACCCAACGTCAAAACTTGTCGACGCTTTGTCGTCTAACAGTAAACTTTCGTATTTTACAGGTGACGCTGGTGGCCAGCTGGGACTCGTGCTTGGGGCAAGTTTCATCACGTTGTTGGAGGTTATTGATCTGTTTGTCATGGTCGTTGTCAGTTGGTTAAAGTCAAAGTATGGCGGCAAAAGCACAGATGTGTGACGAGTTTCTTCTATTTACCAGCCATTGTGTTGATATTTTCTGTTTCAATCTACAAATCGTCTGGTGGTAAGGAATTCTGTGAAGATATCTCTGGGGAGAGATGGAGGCAATTGCAGCATGCTAGGGAAGGTACCTCAAGGGCGCGCCGGAGATTTCCTGTTCAGATCCGTTGAGGACTGTACAAACGCACGCGAAACGTGCAAAGAGTTGGCGGATGGGAGAGAAGAAAATAAGCTAATGGTTACTTTATTTTTGGAAATGGATGGGGTAAAGGTGACTTTATAATTATTTTGAGTGAGGTATTGTTGCGTCTGGAAAATATATAATAACAAGTGCATTCCATTAATGGCATCAAAAGCTGTGCCGTTGCTTGAAGAAGTGAAACATTCAGAAATTGTAGGATAAAAAATAAAAAAAAAACTGGCACAAGAGATAAATCAAGTGTCCCTCCAGTAACAATCCTCGTGTTAAAAATTGTTCAGAAAACTTCGGTGAGAAACCAAGACTGGCTTCTTGTGGTGTAACATGTCGACGTGCCAAGTCTTTAACTATAGAACTGCTCGAACCAGTAAACTCAGCTTAAACAACACGAAGAAAAGTAGTTGCTAAACAATGGTGATGATTCTGTATGATGAACAGGGTAACATCAAGTTTTTAGCTGTTCTGGTCTTACAAGACTCTATTTCACTGTTCAGTTTTTGATTAGGGTATTTTTGGGAAGGTTTTGATTCTCTTCTGCAAGACATTTACTTAAGAACTGAAGAGTTCAGCCTAAAGCTACAGCATTCTAAATACCGCTCGAGAATACAGTCAAAATATGTAGGTTTGCATCAATTATTATTTATAAACAAGCTGTTGAGTCCACCGCGAAAAGTAACATGCTAGAAGAAAAAGTTGAACACTTACATTTTAAAAGTGAAATGCAATATACCGACTGTAAATCAGGGATAAATTAAGTTCCTAAACATCCTTCAAAAATTCCATGAGTTATAGGAATGTTGTTCACAAATATGCTGTTATTGTAGCGCCGTAGTATTTGAGAGCCCAACGATGTGAAGGAGAACCCACTGTTGTGGTGATTTTTTAAATGTTATTGTAAAGTAGACTGTCCAAAAGAAATACGTGCAACAGACAAGTATGTGATTGATTGAAAAAATTGAATAAAAAACTTTTTTTTTTCTGTAAAGATTTCTCTGGTTTAAGCATCTAATCGAGACTCACTCCTATCTCCCTTGTCTGTCATCCCAGTGCAAAACTCGCTAATTATCTCTGCGGCAAGGATAGTTTAAACTGCCGCTTTCTTATTTATTATTATTTTTTTTATTTCTATGTTATTTTTTCCCCGAGATAAATGTAGGCAGCATCAGTGGAATAAATATCCACAGTTTTTGGTGACTATACTGGTGAGCATAGTAACCCTTTTTACACAAGGCTAAGTTTTGAACCGCTGCTTCTGTCATTTTATTGTATAATGAGATGGAACTTCTAATTTTGATGTTTCGCAGCATGAAAACATTTTTGTTTTGTTATTTTCCACAAGAGATACAACTTATTAACGTCAAACGTCGGCGATTTAAGACAGTGCTTGATAAGTCTCTTAGAGTTTTTAAATTTAATCCCATTTGCTGAAGTTATTTCAAGTGGAAATCACTAGTTATCGGGCCGAATGTCATAAAGTTGAGGTGCAAATCGTTCGTTTGATAAATTTGCCCTTAATGACTAGATTCCGCGATAGACGTTTTGTGTCCCGGTGCCAGGAATTTGGCATGACCTTTGTTTTCTCTTGTTTTGAAAAAAAAGAAATTGCTCTAGCACTTTTCTCACTGGAGTCCTAATTTTTATGGTTGTAACTTTCCATGTAAAATTCTTGGTTAATCACTTGCGGTTCTTGCGCCAAATCGCGGCATACACACCGGTGAATGAATAATTTAAAATCGGTTATTTCCTAATAATATGAATTAAAAGAATTATTTTTTTCTTTTTCCTGGGGGAGAAACATTATTTTAGACTTGATAACTTAGTGTAATGGTTACAGTTTACATTCCGTTTCCACTTTAAAAACAGCAAGAGACGTGGATGATTTTGCAAAATTTTGAATAGCTTTGTAAATGTTTTCGTGGAATATGTTCAATTAGCCCGGAGGTTCTTTATCTCGTAGCAACTATGGTGGTCTTTCTAAAATCTTCCTCTTTCCTGTTGCGGCAAATTTGCATAAAATTGAAAATGTGGAAATATTTCCGGACATACAAGTAAATTTGGGTATGGAGTTAAGAATTTTCTCAATGACTTTTGTTGAAAATTAGAAAAAAAGAATCACACACAACCATCTTTTGATTTTAGCGTCTCATTTATTGTTTTCGCGTATCTTCATTGTTTCCTTTCATTCTAATTTCACACAAGTGCCCTCAGCCACGCAGCCAAACAAACTACTTCTTAATTAAATTCTACCGTCGTTCTTTCAGCCTTTTTCTTTACCTGGTGCCGCAGTTTAATCATGTTCATGTTATTTTACTATTTTCTTCTTTCGTGGCGATTTTACGTGGATATTGGACAAAACATATTAATAATAAATTACATTCGTGTGCGTCTAAATCATCGAAAAGCGATAATTTAAAGGCCTCTCGAGAAGCTTCCTCTGGACCAACTCAGTGGGAATGACAACGCATCGATGGGCGATAATTTTTGGCTCGAATTTTTCTCGAAGTATAATAACGGTTTTATGTTGTCAATTCACCTCCTTAGGTGGACGACCATAATTTATTATTTGACGACAATTTAAATACGTCAAGACGAGTAAATCACGTATTTTCCAAAATACGGAGAGCAGTGTCAATAATGATAAATGTATGTGGGTTATTTTGCTTAATAGACAAGGCATGGGCATGTTTCTCTTGAAATTCTTGACAATGGTTTTGTGGTGAGAGAAGAAATGAAACTTTGCTGGTAAATTGCGTTAAACTAGAAGGAAATAAGTCACAGGGTGATATGTGTGGTAATTCCCGGCTCTTCTACCACCTGTCTGTCTAAATTATTCCCTAAAATAAAACAATACTCGTCTAAATTTATGACTTCTTTGACATGCAAATTCAGGTTTAATGGGTAGAATAACAGGTATGGTACACTGAACACAATATCTGATTGGTTTTGCCTACTTCATCCGAGCAGACCCAAGATAGATTCAATTAAAGGCCGACATGGATATATATAAGAAAAGTTGAGGTTTTGATTCAAAAGATCTTTTCTGCCCTAAGTTTACGACAACATTCTAGCGAAGTTCCGTAACTTTTGGGGTATCTGTGCTTGGCTGAGAAATTTCCATACGTTAGTGTTTTGGTGGGGGACAGTTGATTGCTGTGGCAGACGAAAAACGAAAATGTCAAATTTGTTCAACGAGAACGACTCATCTGCGGAGGAGACGGGGGATGTTAAGATCCTCATCAAAGGTGGTGACAAGCTCAGCCCAAGAACTAAAAATGTGTATGCGTTTTGCAATCACTGCAAGAAGGACATTTCTGTCGTGTACATC